CTTCATTTTTCCCGACAGTTAAGATACGACGGAAGGCGTCAAACCGTCTGTCTCTGTTAAGATCTCGATTAAACTTTCTTTTATCCATATTTTGTTACCTTAAGCGGCAACTGTGACCGCTTAAGAAATTTGCCAACTACAAGGTTTCTGAATCTTACAAACCTCTCTGGTCCGTTTCTGTGGAAGTAATAACTACTTCTGTCTGTAACCAGGGAATTATCGCTGCACAACTGTTTTTATTTAGTGACCTGGATCGAGGCCAAACATCTCACAAGTAACACGCTTGCATATCCCTGCAATGAGTTTACCTCCGCCAACTTTGAGAATGTGGTTATGTCGCGCAGACCGACTATATGGGCATTATGTTCTTTGGAAAAGTGCGTCAACGGGCCAACTGACTTCTCTGCACCTGAAATCCGAAAAACACACTCAAACATTTTGTCATTCTGTCGATCATAGTGCCCCTGAATAATACGATTCCGAGTCGAAAATAATTGATTTCAAAAAGTCTCCAAAATAGGATTAAAATTAGTATTTGAGCAGTCCTTAGTTGTTCATCAGCACTTTCTATTGAACGTGGGGCTCTAATGCAAATGGTGCCATGATTTTTTCGCAAATCAGCACTTTTACTACGGCGGAACTTCGAATTGTGATTCTGCTGACCTGTCGACAGTTAGGAAGTAGTCTCTCCCGTCTAATCTGTTTGTAGAGGGTCTTTTACTGTTTGGCATAGTAGGGGCTCATACGCCGGACTATACTGAGTGCATTAACTTCGGCACCTAGTAGTATATCCAGTGGTATTTTAGGCAAAGAATCAACGGCCCTTTGGGAGAAACAAGAATTTTCGGTTTCCTCGCTTAATCCGTTGGCCAGAATGCTGAGCAACCAGATGCTATCCTGCAGAAAGTTCTGGCATCATCGTTTTTTAAGGAGGCCTCTTTCTCTTACACCAGGTGTTCGCCGTTAGGTTATCTAAAAGTAGTTTGTTTCATGAAATACTGCGCCAACACTTTACTATGAAGTAGTTCGTGGAAGCTGCTCGAGGGGTATAGGCTTGCTATCGTAGATCCGAAGGGAGATCATTGTGCCTCGCAAGCAGTTTTATAGCCAGGTAGTTTTATATGCAGAAGGAGGTTAATGTCAAAGCCAAGACAGACTGTAGTGTCCATTCCTGGCTTACTATTTGTCATCACCTACTTATTTTCAAAATCACGTTGGGAGACACAAGGCTCCAAATTGAGCCCAAAACATAGTCGGATGATAAAGTCCTGTATCTTATCTTTAAGAGCTCACCGAACATTGTTTATGTTCCCGAACGAAGCCGACAGGACAACGAGCCCGTGGTTACAGAAATAAGGCAGTGGAATAATAACGAAAAGGGCACGCGATCGGGCGTTACTTGCCCCCACACACATAAGGTTGGAAACGGCTGGCTGGTGACGGCCGATAAGCAAAAAATGGCCATCCTAGTCTCCTCCATCCTTTGAGTTATCTCCTTCTGCATATATTACTAGTCGCTGTGCGACTACATACTGGGTGTCGCATCAAGCTGCAAGGCACATTATGGCAACAGCTTCCTAATGCGGTCGGTGATTGTCATCTAACATAGCGCATGTATATACAAACAAAACGGAAACAGCAGACGAAGTTGCGATCACTGGAACAAGAAATTTATTGGCCTGACGGTTCGGATACTCACTCGAACCCGTCGCCAGAGATAGTCGCAGATAAGGGTAATGGCGGTACAAGGACTGCACTATTTATAACACGTGACTGCCGTGGGACCATATGCGTACTGTAATTAACAGCTCTCCCAATCACTGCTGGGGTTGT